GTACAAAACCAGCGTGTCCTTGGGAGGCACAGTGACAGTCCCCCAGGCTGAGGTCACTTGCAGGGCAGTGGGGATGCAGTAATTGCTGCTCACAGCAGAGCCAGGGAGTTTGTATTTCACACCCAAAGCAGAAGCTGCTGGGAGGCTCCATGTCTTTAGCTTAGTTTTAACTCCTTTTCCTCTGCCAAAAGGGTGTTTCCAGCATGGTGTTCATTGGGCACATTTGGCTTCATGGGGCTGCCCTGCTCATACCCCAAACCATAGCTCATTCACTAGACTTTTTAAAGTGCTGCTTGGGCCATGTTTGCACAGGTATTTAGTTAAAATGCAAATTCAGTTTTGCAAGTCTGTTCTCCTCTCCTTCCCCTCCTGTTTTCCCCCAGAGTGCTCAGACAGGAGCTCACAGCCCTGTGGCTCCAAGCACAGCATCCAGCTGCAGGAGAGCCTGCAAGGTTTACAGGTGGCCATGAACTTGTTTGCACTATTGAGAGAAAAAAATACTAAAATCTCCTCAAAGACCTCAGCCTTTCATGCTCCTTAGTGGTTGCCTGAGGGGAACTGAAGTCCTTTGGTCCTTGCATTGAAGCTCTGTTATGGATCCATCCTCTTTCCTAGAGCTGCTCCCAAATAAGTCATTAAGTATCCAGTCTCACAGTGACTTCTGAACCTTTGTTTTTAAGTCCTGCATGGAAACCTGCAGCTGTGGTGCAGAATCCTCAACTAGAAACTGGGAAGAAGAAAGTTGTGGCTACTTAAGAAGCCTTTTTAATTAATTTATGATCTTTCTCATCCTTTCTTAGAGTGTTTCTGGATCCCAGCCACTCGAGAACTTGGGTATTTCTGCTGCAAATACTCCTGAACCCCATCCCACCAAGCCCTGTGGAGCACCAAGACCTGTCAATGGAGTTATTAACACGTAAGCTGCTTGAATATTAGGGGAAGGGTTTGATTTTTATGATCTTGGCAACGTCCCATTGAAACCAGCTATGCTGGTTGGTAGTAACTAGATTAGTAATGGTGTAAATGGTTTATTTTTTGAAAAGGTATGGTAGGAGATCATGCTTAGGAACATTCTGGAGGAGATTGCTTGCTTGAGTTTTTCTGATGGATTGTTTCTCTGAAAATGGTGTCAAATTGAGCTGTGTTTACATGGACAGGCCCTGCAGGCAGCCAAGCAGTGAGCATGTTCAAAACTGTTTACACTTAAAATTCTGTGATTCAGAGGTACTAGTGGCCCAGTTGCAATTACTTTGGAGAAGTATCTGCAGCCTCTGGGGATACTGAGGAACCCAAATCCCATTGATTTGGGGAGCAAGACTTTCTAAAGTCTTTGTTTCTCCAGGCTGGTTTTTGTTGAGAAAGTCTTGAAGTGGGCAAATGAAAACAAGGGAAAGAAATTCTCTGGTAAATGGTGATTTCAGGGTTGAACTTTTCTGAAGGCTTAATTCTCAAATATTAATCAGAATCAAGTTTACATTAGGTTAAATATTTTTCTAGAAAATCATGTGTTCTCTGTCTCTTGCAGACTCATGAGAACCTGTTAAAATATCCTGAGCTGTAATTCTGGGGGCAGCTGAACTCCAGGATTAAAGCTGCTCAAGGCTAGAGCGGTTTTGGTCTTGCTCTGTGTCCAGCTTTACATGCCATTTTTTTGTTCAGAACTTCCAAAGGTTATTTGGACAAAGGTTCAGTGGTGGGAGAGTGTGGAAAGTGGCCAAAGTAAAACCAAGAATGAGAGTTGGTTTGAATAAAAGCTCTTGCCTCATGAAACTGCAACAGTTTAAACTCGGAGTGTTTGCTACGGTCTGAGTCTTGAACCTGGTAACGTGGGCTGGTTGGATGAATAACTCCATCTCTTCTCTCTCTCCTTCTCTCTCTCCTTCTCTCTCTCCTTCTCTCTCTCCTTCTCTCTCTCCTTCTCTCTCTCCTTCTCTCTCCCCTTCTCTCTCCCCTTCTCTCTCCCCTTCTCTCTCCCCTTCTCTCTCCCCTTCTCTCTCCGCTTCTCTCTCCGCTTCTCTCTCCGCTTCTTCTCTCCCTTCTCCCTTCTCCCTTCCCTTCCCTCTCTACTTCCCTTCCCTCTCCACTTCCCTTCCCTGTCCACTTCCCTTCCCTCTCTACTTCTCTCTCTTCTCGGGCAGTCTTCAGCCTGGCCTGGCAGAACATGCTCAGGGAGATGGCCAGGAAGCTGAGGAGCTCTTGCATAAAAAGCAACGGCTGAACATGGTTTCCCCCTCGGATGGGACGTGCGTGGCCGCCCGCACCCGCCCGGTGCTCAGCTGCAAGAAGCGGCGCCTCGTTCGGCCAAGCAGCATCATGCCCCTCTCCAAAAAGGTTTGTGCTGTTTTTTGATGCACCCTGTGGCTACAACTCCACACCAAAGAGCCTGGTGAGGTACTTACATGTTGGTCCAGTGGGGTTTTGCTCTTTGCATGGAGAGGTCTCCTTGGTTTGGGAATGTTTTGTCGTTATTATTAAGAGGGGAACAGTAATGGGGAGGAAGAGGAGGACAGTGAGGCTGCAAAGTCTGTTGGAGAAGAAGAGGAGAAATTAAGGAGAAGCTTTGAATTTGTTAGAAGACTTAGTAGCTGTCCCTGAGGAGATGCTGAACTCTGATGTGGGTTTGCTTTTCTAAAACCAAGCAGCCTGGGGTGAATTCAGGCCAGGTAGTTCAACATGGCACAGTCTGAGGAAGCTCTGAAAAGGCAAGTATCAGGAAATCTTAGCTCTGAGCACATGAATTAACACAGCCCCAGGAACTTGCTGCTACTTGCTCAGAGAAACTATAGTTGTCTGACCAGGCATCTGTGGGATGTCTTGCAAAAGGCCTGCCAGGGTGATCATGTTCACTTCCACTGCCTGAGTTTGGAAATCACTCAATGCCATGACTCAGTTCTTGGGTTTGTTTTAATTTATTGTTTATCATAGAATGGTGAAGGTTAGAAGAGGCCTTAAAAATCATCAGGTTCCAACCTCCCTGCTATGAGCAGGGACACCTCCCGCCAGACCAGGCTGCACAAGCCTCATCCAGCCTGGCCTTTAACACCTTCAGGGATGGGGCAGCCACAGTTTCTCTGGGCAACCTGTTCCAGTGCCTTACTGCCCTCATGGTGAATAATTTCTTCCTGATGTCTCACCTAAACCTCCCCTGTTTCAGTTTAAAACCATCACCCCTTGTCCTTTCACTCCCTGCCCTTATCAAGTGTTCCTCCCCAGCTTTCCTGGAGCCCCTTCAGGCACTGGAAGGTGCTCTCAGGTCTCCCTGGAGCCTTCTCTTCTCCAGGCTGAACACCCCAACTCTCCCAGCCTGGCTCCAAAGCTGCTCCAGCCCTCAGATCATTTTTGTGGCCCTTCTCTGGACCCTCTCCAACAGGTTTTTTATTTTATACTCCTTTCCACATCGTCTTCCCTTGCCCTTTTGCAGAGCTTCAGTTCAGTGAAAATAGAGTTTATTCCCTGTGTGAGGGAAGGGCAGTGCTTCCTTCTGTTTCATTTCTCCTGGGAATGCTGTAAACTGTCAGGTGGAGGATAGGCAGGAATTGAGGAAATAAGAGCCTTTTTGTGCACGCAGCTCTCATGGTTGCAGAACCATAGATGGCACAAATCCACTGACCTTTGAGTCAGAATGTTTCAAGTCGAGCTTTACCACAAGAGTCCAGGGGTTTTCATGTTGTGGGTGCTGGAGTTTTAAAGAAAAGCTCAAAAAGCAACATTTTTCTGAGCAAAGTAGGTTCTTGCTCAGCTGAGTTAGCTTTAACTTATTACTTATCTGCAGTTTGATCTGGGGTATTTCTGGTAAACCTCTGCAGTGACTCCCTTCAAGATCTTCAGTGATTTGGAAGTTCATGACCTTTCCCACTGGTGATGCTGACTGGTGCACTCAGTGTTTGAAGCAGGAATTCTGTGTTAAATATTGACCATATTCTTAAAATACATTTGATAATGAGAGATGATGCAGAAGAGCAGTTTGAAGGGATGGAGGGTCTGCCAAAGAGCAGAGCATTTCTGTGGACTCCCCCAGATATTAGAGAGAAAGTTGAGTGATGGTCGTTGTCCAGAGATACCATGTCCTACTACACTACTCCCATCTAACACAAAGTGCTTTTAAGTTACTATGACGAGAAATAACAACTTTAGAGTTCACTGTTTCGATAGAGATCATCCATAACTGTACCTGCTGTTTTACAAAACCTGAATACAACATCACTTGGAATTTTTAAGTTAGGAGATCTCCTCAAGGAAAGAGAAAGGGCTTAAAGGCTGAGTGGGTCTGTAGCCTGCACTGGGTTGGAAGCAGGATGGGAAGGGATATCCATGTCCCAGAGCAGACTGCTTTATCCTCACACTGCCAGACAGTTGTCTAAACCTCCTTAGGCAAGCTGTTGGAGTGCTTAGCTGCTCTTGTTTCTCAGACAGCAAAACCAAACAACCCTTCCATTCTAATACAAGCTGCCTTGGCTGCAATTTCAATCATTAACCAGTAGCCCAAGTCCTGGGATGAACTGGTCAGCTCCCCTCCTTGCTTCAGAACCTCTCCCTGAAGAGTGCAAGTTGACATGGTAATTCTTAATGGGGTGACCTCTACAGTGAACACATCATGAGGCTTTCTGGTTTTGCACATAGGACCTATATATATATATATTTATTTATTTCATCTGTAGTTTTTTGGCTCTTTTCTTCTCCATTTGGTGCAGACACTCCTTGAAATGTGTGCCCAGAGCTGGGTGCTGCTCTCTCTCCAGCTCATGGTACAATGCTGAGCAGGGTGGCAGGATTACCTCCTGTGTCTTGCACAACCACTCTGTTTATAAAGCCCTGTGGGGTGTTCATTCTCATTTTCTGACCCACAATAACACCAGATCCTCTGGGCAGAGCTGCTTAGTTACCTCCTTGGTCATTGAAACACCCACTTGTTGAATTTTCCCTCAGTGAATTAAATTTTATTTATTTTAGATAATTCCAGCTCTTTCCTTCAAGGGCTTTACAGCCTTTCCCAGTTTTAGTGTTATTTGCTAAGGCTTAAGGGTATTATCTCTTCCATCATACAGGTCATTAGTGGAAATTATTTTAATAATACTAGGCTCAGAAGAGACTTCTGCAGGATCCAGTTGGATACATCCTTCCATTTTGATGGGGTTACTTGCTCTGTATGGGATTTACATCCAGTTCTGCATCTGCCTGCAGTGGTTTGATATAAATAAAAGTCTATATGAAGTCTTTAAGTTTGTGAGTTGAAAGTCTGTCCTGGTTTAGGGAACAAGGTTGAAACCCACCCTTTTTCACCCTGTAAAGATGTCCCTGGAAGTCTCAACTCTTGGCAGAAAGTGATGGCTCTCTGACCCAGCTGAACTCAAAAAGGCTTTTTTCACCCCTCCCTCTGACAACTGAATTGTTCTGCCTCATGGTTTTTTATAACTGAGGTTTCAACCTAGATAAAATTAAACACTTTTAGTCAAATTTAGTAGCTGTTGAACCGTCTGTGCTGGTGAGTAAGAGTTTTCAGTTGTGTTGATGCAAAGTGAAAGCGTCTTTTTACGAGTCCAGACTAAACAAGCAGGTTTTATACAAGGTATTTTAAAAAAAAAAAAAAAAAAAAAATAAATAAATCAGCCTTTGGGGTGTTTTCCATGAGCTGTCCAAGTGTGAGGAGGCTGTGAGGTGTTGAAGTGACTCTGTCTCTCTGCAGGTCCATCGGAACAGCCTGGCCCGGTGCAGCTGCGACGTGAACCCCTCGTGTGCCCTCTGTGGCACTCGCAGCTCGGCCACCCTGGAGATCCAGTATGATGCCCCTCTGCTGGAACGTCTCTCCCAGCTGGACTCCTGTATCCATCCTGTCCTGTCATTCCCAGACGGTGAGCAAAGCATCTGTGGAGTTGGCTCAAGGGGTTGTTGGCAAATTGGGTCCCGAGGTGGGTGAGAAGGGGTGCTTGGACATGCTCTGGAGCCTGCTCCTCCATCCTGGGTGTCCAGAGGAGTGTAGATCTGCTTGGGCATGACCAGGATGGAGTACTGTGTCCACTTCTGGAGACCCAACGTAAGAAGGGCATGGAGCTGTTGGAACAATCCCAGAGAAGGCCACAAAGATGGGCTGGAGATGGGCTCCAGAGGCCTGGAGCAGCTCTGCTCTGGGGACAGACAGAGAGAGTTGGGGTGTTCAACCTGGAGAAGAGAAGGCTCCAGGGAGACCTTAGAGCACCTTCCAGTGCCTGAAGGGGCTCCAGGAAAGCTGGGGAGGGACTTGGGACAAGGGCAGGGAGGGATGGGATGAGGGGGAATGGATGAAAAGTGGAGAGGGGAGATTGAGGTGAGACATGAGGAGGAAATTGAATCTTCCCTGTGGGGGTGGTGAGAGCCTGGCCCAGGTTGCCCAGGGAAGCTGTGGCTGCCCCATCCCTGGCAGTGTTGAAGGGCAGGTTGGATGGGGCTTGGAGCAACCTGGGCTGGTGGGAGGTGTCCCTGCCCACGCAGGGGGGTTGGAACTAGAAGATCTTTGAGGTCCCTTCCATCCCCAACCATTCCATGATTCTACAAGGTTGTTCATCTGCAGGTATTTTTGGGAGCAGGGCATTAGCTGGAGCAGGAGGGTTCAGGAAAGCTTTGCACCTGGGGACTGCTCTGCTCTGAACCTATGGATTAGGGGAACATGACCTGGAGCCCCTCTTGGGGTGGGGAAACCCAGATGTGCCTGGGAGTCTGTACTGGGCCCTGGGTCTTTGCCTGGTGTCTGGGTGGCTTTAAACCACTTGAGAAATGTATTCTTCCACAGAGATGGTTCATCTGCATGAAATTATTTGTGGATTGGTTTAAGTCACAGGAATTCTTTGTGACCTTTTAAGGAATTGTAAATGATCTTCCATGGTTCAGAGGGTGCAGTAAGAAGGGATCTTCGTCTTGGGACACTTGTTTCAGGGTTAATCATCATTGAGAGGAATAACTAACCAACCTTGACTGTGGGGTGTTCACAGATTTTGTGTGTAGGGACTTTTCCCAAGGGAAATGCAGTAGTTTCCAGTGTCTTTTGCTTCCTAAGCCAAGTTAAATACAAGCCTGGTCTTTGACCAAAAACTATTGCCTTGAGAGAGATTGGTGTCCATCTGTCATCTTTTTCCTCTGATCACAAAATACTGGGCCAGAAATTATACAGTCTGGAAGTTTTTATCAGGAAAACCAGGCAGTAAATCAATCCTAGTGTCCCCTTTCCAGGACGGGAAGACCTGGCTGCTGGGAGGGAAGGTGTGTGTTCTGCTTCTCCTGATGATCTAAAGTGACTTGTCCTGATTCAAACCTTGGGTTTTAACCCAGTGTGTGTGTGTTTGGGTTTCAATTCCAGCTTTGCACGAACTTCCTGTGATGGTAGGAAATTCATGGAGTGGCTGGGAACAATTCATCTGGCATCTTTCACTAGCAGTGTATTTAAAGCAGACTAAAATAGAAAATTGGTGCTATTTTTAAAAACTAAATCCCCACCCCCTCCAAAGACACATCTCTCTTAAGGAATGCTGAAGGAACTGAAGCAGAAATTTATTTCCTGATTTCACAGCATTTGTAATCCTCAGTCTGGGGTGTTCAACTGAATAGCCTGGGAAGTGGGGAGAAAACATTGTACACAACTGCAGCGTGGCCACCAAGCAAATCATTTCATCCCAAATTCAAGTTTCATTTTCCTAGAGTCAGCTGCAAGCAGCTCACAGGCTGAAAGATCCATTCTGTCTGCATGAGATGACAGACTTTGTTTTGAAAACTACCCAGTGTGGAACTTAAAACATCTGTACAGAAATCCCCATGTTCAGATGAATTTTGGGTTATTCACTGATGCTTAATATAGTTCTTCTGGGGCTGCTGCTTGGGGCTGGGGCTGCTTTTCTCTCCCAACATGAAGCCAGGGAGGGAACCTGTTGGTCTGCACCGAGGTGTCTTGCCCCCCATGAGCACTAACCCAAGTTGCCATCATTACTCCCACATCATTAGCTGAGATGTGAGGAGGAAATTCTTGAGTGTAAGGGTGGTGAGAGCCTGGCCCAGGTTGCCCAGGGAAGCTGTGGCTGCCCCATCCCTGGCAGTGTTGAAGGGCAGGTTGGATGGGGCTTGGAGCAGCCTGGGCTGGTGGGAGGTGTCCCTGCCCATGCAGGGGGTGGGACTGGATGATCTTTAAGGTCCCTCCAATTCAAACCATTCTACAATTCTGTGCTTATTCTGGGGGCTCACCTTGAAAGCAGCTGGCTGGGTCAGTGGGCAGAGGCTCAGTTAGGACTTCCTGGGGAAGCAGTTGGGGTTGCTGGATGCAGCCTGGCTGGGGAGCTGGGAGCATGTGCTGACTTTCACTTTGAGCCTCTCCTTGGCTTCTCCACTGCCAGCAGCCAGGACCTCCAGAGCCTTTTGCCAAGGGCAAAATCACCAGGCCCTGCAGGAGCAAAAAGATCATTTTTTCTTCTGGCAAGCAGGTTGCAGGCATCACACTTAACCCCTTGCATTTGTGTTTCCCAAGAGCTTTGTCCCCTTCCTTTAGTTTATTTTTTTTCCCCTCTTTTTTTTGTTGTTTTGTTTTTCCCTGGCTCATCCGACCTCTCACTGGGAATTTTCAGATGATGTAATAACCTTGGAGGGGAGGATGAGCTGGGCTCCTGGGCTCAGTCCGGTTGCCATCTGCTGGTCCCCGGGAGGTCTGCACTGCTCAGCCCAGGCTGAGGAGGAGGAGGAATAGTGACGCTGTCACTTGCTGCACAGACTCTGGTGCTGACAGCAGGACAGTAGCAAACCAGCAAATGACTCACTTTCTGCTGACAATGTTTTATCTTGCATTTTTCCCCCCCTCCCTTCAACCTGTCTCCTCCTTCCACAGATGTGTCCACAGATGTGTGAGCTGCTGGGGTGGGGTGAATTTTCATGAGAAAGCAAAAAATAAGCAGAGAAGGAGCCTTCTTCCCAACATCAGACCAGTTCAGCACATGAGGCTGCAGCTTCCCTGGCAGGGTCCTGAAAGCCTGACCCCTCTCTGCTCTTTGGGACGTGTCTCCACATGTGGTGGCCAGAGAGCTGCTGTCAGCCTGTAATAGCTCTTCCTTAGCAAAGGGATGAGGCTAAACCAGAGGTTTAACCATCGAGTTACTGGAAATTCAGCTGTCCTGGCTTTTTCCTGAGTCAAATTTCCCCTGGTGATTACAGCCAACTCCAGCCTGTGCCCTGCCAGCTCTCTCCTGTTTACCTGCCCAGATCTGCTGGGGCTTTCCAGGCCCTGGAATTGTTGTGGAATTTTCTGAGGGGTTTAGATACCAGCTGTTGAGACTGCAGGCAGAGCTTGAATCAATTCAGCTTGTCCTCTGAGATGATCTAGATGCCATTTCTGAATCCCACAGCAGCTCCTAATTGCCTCTGTGTCCCTGCTGCAGAGCGAGGAGCTTTATCCCTTGTGCAGGGTCTGGGCAGGTTCAGCTCTGCTCAGGGTGGCTTCAAAGTCCTTGTGAAAATGTCATGTAAGCTTAGGAGATGTGGGGGAGGGATGTTCATGCTGCTGGTGCTCATCTCAGAGCTTTTAGCTCCTAGTTGTGGCAGTGTGAGCTCTCATGGGGCTGCGTGTCCCCTTGGCAACAGTCTGTGCTGGGGGTGACATGTCAGCCCATGAATGCTGGTGTATAATGGTCTTACAGGTGTAGCTGGAGAAGATAAAGTCATTTCTCAGTAGTTTTCTTGATAACTAAAGGTTTCATTGCTTTTCTGAGCTAGGATTTTGGCCTTCAGGCATATCAAAGAAAACTGGGCCTTGGAGGAGACTTGGGCAGCAGCATTTGGTGATCATGTCTGAAGTTGGAAGCTGTGAGTGTGTGAGGAAGACTTGTTTGTAGGACTCCTGAGGCTGGAGTGGTTTGCTACTCCAGTTAATGTTTTTTTATGGTTGACCTTAGCCAGTTGGCACAAGAAATACACTGAACAGTCTCGTGTTTGGGCTGAGGTTGGGAGGGCACAGGTGTGTGGGGTTGGGGAGAATCAGCTCCAGGATGTAGGCAGAAGTAACACCTGGGACAGCACCCATGTTCTTGTTGTGAGATGGGGGGTTAGATAGGGACAGGTACTCAGGGTGACCCGGATTGGTGCCATGCACAGAAAGTTGAGGCTCAAAACTCATCAGTTACCAGATCCTTACCTGTTGGGCTGCTGCTCTGGGAGCCTCTCAGGTGTGCTCACTCCCTCCACCACTGCTTGAGGTGCCACGTCAGGCAGATGAACATCACACAGGACTTGGTTGGCATTTGGCTTGACCTGGAGTTGAGGATTTCAGTTGAATTTCTCTGCTCTGGTCCCCAGCTCTGTAGGTTTGGTGTGCTGAGATACCTCAGGTTCTTGGAAGTCAGATCTGGGATGGCAGGACATGAGATACCTCCAGTGGTAAAGGCTTCATTCTCCTGCCAGGAGATACTTGTGCTGTGAATACTGTAGGAATTCACTTCTCTCCAAGACCTTCTGATCAGAAAAGTTGGGTCCAACCATTACAGGTCATCCCAAGCCTGGGTTTTAAGGTCAATGCCTTGTATGTTTGTGAAGGGCTGTTCTTCCTGGGGGACTGGGAGAGGATTATGGCCCCACAGCTTCTGGTGCACCATGGAGTTAATTGGAATGCCCTGTTTGTGTCCCTCTGCAGATGTGCCGACCAGCCTGCACTTCCAGAGCATGTTGAAGTCTCAGTGGCAGAACAAACCCTACGAGAAAATCAAAGCTCCCAAAAAGCTCTCGCTCAAGCACAGAGCCCCCATGCCCACCAGCAGCCTGTCTGACCCTGCTCGCAAGGACCGCCACAAGCTGGTGAACTCCTTCTTCACTGCAGCCAGTAAGTGTCCTCTCTGCCTGCACCACCTGCAGGAAAATGGCCTGAGCTTGTACCCAACAGCCCTGCAACCTGGGAGGAGAGAGGAGGAGGAGGATCCCTTTGAAATTCAGCTCTTAGGGATGAGGCCAGGGCTGGAAGTGAAGTGTGTGCAGAGTGTGAAGTGCAAGCTGGTCTGTTTGTAGGGACCTCTTGCTGCTCTGAGGCTGCTCTCAGGAGCAAAGTTCCAGCTCCTCCAGCCCCGAGCTCATCTCCAGCGCCCGGAGGGTGTTGAGCCCAACCTGCCTGGCTTTACAGCTGGGCAAGCTCTGCCCGAGCCTCCCGTGCCAACAGAAAGAGGTGCCAACTGGCCTTTCATAGCTCTTTCTCTGTTCCCCTCCTCAGAGCGCTCACATCACAAAACCCCAGCAGACAAGGCTCACAGGCCACCACCCCCAGACGAGCTCTCGGCCGTGCCCAAGGCCGAGGCAGCGCCCGAGCGCCCGCTTGTCCAGCCTCCTGCCTGGGACAAAAAGCGAGTGCGCGACTGCTCGGCTGAGAGGAGCGAAGGTAGGATGCCCGGGGAGCTTGGGCTCTGCTGCACATCCAGCCTCTCTCCCCCTTTGGCCTCCTGGCAGGGGGGACCCCTCTGCTTTGGGGCTTGTCACCACCACAGCAACGCCTCGTGCCCTCCAACTGCTTCTCCTCCCCAGCCCCCAGGGCCTCTCCAGCTGCAGCTGCCATCAGGAGGTGCTTCTCTTCTCACGCCAAGTTCTCCTCAGTACTGGCCTGGTGCTCAGGGTCCTTTTCTATCCACCACCCTCCTTGGTCTGTCTCTCTGCTAATGTTCTTGGTTTCCTCTCCCTCCTCCCTGTGCAGTGTTGAAGCATCACACGGACATTGGTGGCCCAAGCTACTTGTCAGCAGCTGCAACCCCCACACCTCACAGCCCCATAGCTCGGCAACTCTCCACCTCCTCAGAGGGCTCTGCTCCAGCCAGCACGAGTGCACAGGGCACCTCCAGCACAGCTGTAAGTATCTAGGAAAGATCTTCCAATTTTAGGAAGAAATTCTTTACCATGAGGGTGGAGAAGGAGTGGAACAGGTTGCTTAGAGAGGGGGTGGAAGCCCCATCCCTGGAGACATTCAAGGTCAGCCTTGATGGGGCTCTGAGGAACCTAGTTGGAAAGGTCACTCTGCACTGCAAGGGGGGCTGGACTACATGACCCTTAAAGGTCCCTTCCAGCCCCACACATCCTGTGATTCTATGATCTAGTGCCTTTCTGGAGAGGTTTCTGAGCTCAGCTCCATTATGGGGTCTCACTTTTCAAGCAGTTCAAGCATCTCAGGCTTGAGTGTGCTTTGTATTTCTCTTCACCCCTGGTTTCAGCTGGTGGCAGGGTTGCTGACCCTTTTTTTTATCCTCTGACGTTGTGTCTGCTGGTTGGTTCCTGGGTTGATGCTGGCTCTGCAGAGCCAGGCAGCTGCAGTGACAGGTTCACTGTCAGCTCAGGAACTGCTGGTCATTGCTCCTGTTCTCAGAAGTCCCTTGGCTTGGCTCCATGTTTGGGTTTTGGTTTCTGAAGTTGTCTAGGGATGCCAGGAAGAGGAGCAGAAGAGCTGAGCACCAGCAGTGCTTCCACTGAGATGGCTTTCCCTTCATGGCCTTGGTGGCACTGGGCTGGGACTGAGTCACAACAGGGACAGCAGTGGTGGCTGGAACCTCAGTTGTCACCTATGTGCAAGCTTCAGAAGTTGCTTAACTCATCCTGTCTGCTGAGGCACACTGGTCTGGTCTCTGGCTTCAGGCATGACATGTTGGAGTGACTTTGCTGCCATGGCAGTAGTTGACCACCCACTCCATCCTCATCCAGCCTCACATGAGCCCTGGGAATTGGCCCTGGCAGGTCCCTGCCACTTGGGTTCCCTCAATAAAGGAGGTGGAGGACATGGTAAATTGCAGGTGATTGTTGTGAAGACACGTTTGTGATTCAAGCTGATCCAGGAGGATTCATGTCACTCTAGCAGCAGTGCTCCTGTCACGGGTTTGGGGGAGGTTTTTTGGATAGACAGATGGTAGGAGAGCACCCAGTGTTCCACCAGGTTTCAATAGAGAAGCTTGGAGTGTATTCCTGACTTAGAAAATCCATTCCAGTTAAAAGTGTAGTGGAAGTGAAAGCTGTGAGACTCCATGTGCAGCTGTCCTAACCCAAGATGAACTCCTGGCTGGCTGCTTCACCTTCCTCCTCTATCTCAGTGTCAGGGGTGGTGGTTCTACACCCCTGCAGGGACACAAGCAGGGGGGCTGTTCCCATCCTGGATGGTGGTTCTTCTCCCCTGATGGTCTCAGAACTTTCTTCACATTGGCAGTAGAGGGTTGAGTTGTGTGGGAGACTTTTCTTCTTGTTGGGTCAGTTCATCAGCCAGATCAACCTCCTGACCCACCTGGCTGTGCAGTGGCTGCTGCCAGGGTGGAGATGGTGGCTGGAGCTCAGGAGCCCTTGCTCACCTTGCTTCACTGTCCACAGGGCCACCACAGCCCCTTTTTTGTGCCTGAGCATTTTTGGTTGGGAACAGGGGCTTCCAGCAGGAGAACTGGAACAGGTTGCCCAGGGAAGCTGTGGCTGCCCCATCCCTAGCAGTGTTGAAGGGCAGGTTGGATGGGGCTTGGAGCAACCTGGGCTGGTGGGAGGTGTCCCTGCCCATGCAGGGGGGTTGGATCTAGATGATCTTTAATGTCCCTTCCAACCCAACCCATTCCATGATTCCATTATTCTAACTGATACAAATTGCTCATTGGTTCTGAAGTTTCTAAAGGTCATACAAGGCCATCCCTTGAGTCCTTTTTCCGCACCAGTGACTTAACGTGACCAAACCTTCCTCACCTGGTCCTTGTCTCCATGTTCCTGCAGCCAAGGAGGAGAAGAGGTGAAAGCTCCTTCGATATCAACAACATTGTCATCCCCATGTCCGTCGCTGCCACCACTCGGGTGGAGAAGCTGCAGTACAAGGAGATCCTCACACCAAGGTAGGTGCCAGGACCCCCCCAGCCCAGCAGGGTGTCACCTCCCAGGCTGTCCCTCTGGCTGACCCCTCTGCTGTATCTTGCAGCTGGCGTGAAGTGGACGTCAGTGCTCTGAGAGCCAACCCTGATGAAGACAACGAGGAGGTAGGAAGGGTTTCATTTCCCAGTTGATGTGGGATGGGATTAGTGACAACTGAACAGCATCCATGGAGAACACCAGAAGGGAGAGGACACGGGGATCTAGGCAGGGAGGTCTCTTCCTTGTTTCCAACAAAATGGCACAGTTTCCTTGCAGGAACCAGGCTGGGGTTGGTTCCTTCTCAGGCAGGGTGTGGTAGGGCAGGAGTTGGGTTAACTGGCTGGTGCAGCTGAACCTGAGGTCTCCTTGCTGTCAGGAGACCTCTCTGGGCAGCAGTATTTTTATGGAATGGTCTAATCTAGAAATCATGACCAGTCATGCTGCAATAGTTGTTATTTTAGCTGAACTGATAATGATGGGATTTCCTTGATCCTCTGGGCGCGCTGACCCCAGGAGAAGAGCTTTCCTTTGGTGTCCAGAGCTCAGTCCCTTCCCGAGTGATGCAGACTTGGTTCAACGAGGTGTAGCTCAGGCTGGAAAAACAGCACATAGATGCATGTTTCCTAGAAGAAAGCTGGTTGATGAGAAGCTCAAAAAGAGCTGACCATGAGTGCTGGCAGCCCAGAAACCAACCCCTGTCCTGGGCTGCATCAAAAGAAGAAGGAAGTGTGGCCACCAGGGCCAGGGAGGGGATTGTCCATGTCTACTCTGCTCTTGTGAGATCTCACCTGGAGAACTGGGTCCAGCTCTAGAGCTCCCAACATAAGAAGAAGATGGAGCTCCTGGAGAGAGCCCAGAGGAGGGTATAGGGATGATCAGAGGCTGGAGCAGCTCTGCTCTGGAGACAGGCTGGGAGAGTTGGGGTGTTCAGCCTGGAGAAGAGAAGGCTCTGGGGAGACCTTAGAGCAGCTTCCAGGGCCTGAAGGTGCTCCAGGAAAGCTGGGGAGGGACTTGGGACAAGGGCAGGGAGGGATGGGATGAGGGGGATGGATGAAAAGTGGAAGAGGGAGATCGAGGTGAGACATGAGGAGGAAATTCTTTGCTGTGAGGGTGGTGAGAGCCTGGCCCAGGTTGCCCAGGGAAGCTGTGGCTGCCCCATCCCTGGCAGTGTTGAAGGGCAGGTTGGATGGGGCTTGGAGCAACCTGAGCTGGTGGAAGTGGATGATCTTGAAGATCCCTTCCAACCCAAACCATTCCATGAAAGCTGTGACCAATTCCTTTACCCTTCCCTTTCCAGATTGAGGACTTATCAGACTCGGCCTTCGCCGCCCGGCACAGCAAGTGTGAGGAGCTGGAGCGCGCGCGGTGGCTCTGGAGCACCAGCGTCCCCCCCCAGCGCCGCGGCAGCAGGTACCTCCCGGGGGCACACAGGCTGCAGGGGGTGTCTCCTGGCCAAAACGTCCTTCCCAACAGCAGGATGCTCCCGGGGAGCTGGTTGTGGAGGCTTGATTAGGTTGACTGATCCATCAGAAATGGTTAAAAGCTTGTGCTGGTTTTGGAAAGTTTGGGCACCACCCACAGGAGCGGCTGGAGGAGCCCACCTGGGGGTGGGGTGAAGTTACACACTGGTGAGGTTGCAGAGAACCCAACTCCTGCAGCATCCCTTGGGATTCTGCTTTCTCAGGCACTTTGGGTGCTGTAGACGTGTGGAGGCTGGTGCACCAGCTCAGGAGTCTGGAGAAGAAACAAGGGCTGAGTTGGGCATCCTTCCTGCAGGAGCAAGGACCAGTGGTTGTTCCCAGTGTCACATCTCTGCTCGATGGCTTCAGCAGGGCCATTTCTCTGCTCACTTTTCATCCACGTCCTCACCTTCCTCTGGTCACTTGGGCCTCAGTTCCCTTTCTGCAGCATCTCTTTGTGAGGAGGTGTCTGAAACTGCAGTTTCCAGCTGTTGAGCT